CCTGACGCTGATGATGTTTGCTCTATTATTGTCTCAATAATCTCATTACTTTTGCTGCAGTGAAAGGTTAGGTGAACCAGGCTGCTATTCTCAGGGTTACAGCATCGGTGTACAAAATCTGACTACATATAGACTGAAATTGAAGACCAGCCCATTTGCTGTTTGTTTTTTTAAAGATGAAAATGGTTGTATAAAGTTAAAGTCAGTGTGGTATGCTGCATTTTTATTGGTAAGTTACAATGTGTTTGATTATCAACAGCAGATTTAAACTCTGTCTGTTTAGATTTTATTTAAACTATTTTTCACAATTTTCATTTATTCTTTCTTTTTTAACTTTAAGATGTATATTTTTACATTAATATACCCTTTTATTAATAATATCACCGTCTTATTTATATTTATAGGATAATTTTTTCTCTTGCTTTACAGTTTCACTTTTACAAATGTGTTCTTCACACTATTTAGTCTGGTGTTTACCTGTATGTCTGTCTGTCTGTTTTGCCATGAGTTCTACCAGTCATCCAACACACAACAGCAATAAGGTTTCTCATGTGGACCTTTGGGAATATGAATGATCCTCATCTACACTAAAAGCACCAGTTCAAGATTTATGATTTAATTACATGAGGAATCTGTTTTAGGAGTGAAACTGTTAATTAGATTAATCACCAGATTAATCACTGATGCGTTTCTCTGTAAATATTGCCTACCGGTATTTAAAATTCTGTTAAAAAAAAATCTCCTAAGCACCTTTTTGCTATCCAAATATTAAATCAATTTAATGGAGAGGTTGTGAACAAATAAACCATTTAGCAAAATACGGGGTTTAGTTTTATGTTCAGACCGCTTGTTTTGTTTTAAGTATGTTAACTTGCATAGAGTATCTCTTTTTAGACTAATCAAAAAGATAAATAGATACAGCAGCATTCATTGTTTTTCTTTTTGTTTCTTTTTCCAGGTTAGCACTCATGGTTATTCCCAAAACCAGATCCTGGTGTGGAAATATCCGTCTTTAACACAAGTGGCCAAACTCACAGGACACTCCTACAGAGTACTCTACCTGGTAAGGATACTGTGTTTCTAGAAACAAGAAAAAAAGTCTGATGAGAACGACTATAACGAATGTTATGTAATGAAATTTTTTTTTTTTTTTTTTTTGAGAAGGATCATGAGTATTTTTAATAAAATATTAGGCATATAAATACAAATTAAGTACTTAAATTATAATGAAAAAAGTCCTCCAGTGTTTCTTTCTCAGTATTCCTTAAATGTGTTCAAAATCCTGAGTTAGATGAAGCAGTTCTGCTGTATCACAAAAAAAAAATTAATTCTAAGTGAAAGAAACAACAGCTTTGGTCAGAGGTTCTAGACAGACTTAATCTACAGAGTTTATGTAGCGTTTGATCTGAATCGTTTAGGCACAAATATTGAGATAAACCATTGACATCTGTAAACAGGTTGGATTATTTAAGGAACCACATTAACTCCATGTCTCTGATTTTCCTGCTGCTTTTTTGTTGTTGTTCTTTTTATTTACTACAAGGTATAAGTAGATCAGTACAGCACACAGAGCAGTGGCCTTTGACACATTGGCACCATTTTTCCATCTCTGCGTGTAAACACCATAACTGTGTCCGAACTTCCGTCCTAACCCATAAATTCCTCAATCAATATATTGAGCGGGGGCTATATAGTTCCCTATATAGTTAACTCAGTTAAATGACCGTTCAGACGTATGTTCACTACTTTTCGCTTCAGGTTGGTCAGGTGACTTCGCCTCACCGCATGCTGCCTGCACCATCTTTATTAGTCACCGCTGTCTGGTAGCGACAGACCAAGGTGACAAATGGCAGCTGTGACAACAAATCATGAGAAGGTCTCTCCTCGCAAAAGCATTCTGGGATATATCTGCTCGTCTATTGACTATGGATGATCACTACTTTTCAAGATGCATTGTGGGAAATTTAGAGTCCAAGGCTTATTCATTCACTAGATGTTCGGGCATTCATTTAAAATGCCCTAACCGCTATATAGTTGCGATATACCCCATATAGCGGTTAGGGCAGACAGTCGGACGCAGCCAATGAGATCTTGCCAGTCGGTGCCTTGTTTGTTGTGCATGACAGAATTAGAACACCACATAACATCCTTTATTTAGAGGTGTTCACCTATTGATACTTAGTCTCGTTTTTTTATCTGTAAACAAAAATGATTTAATCACATTTAAACACCCAAATTAGCCTGCTACTACTGCTTTTTTTTATTTTGGGGGGTAAAATGTATCAATAAAATATTTCCTGCTGAACAAATTAAGACAGCCTTTCCAACTAATCGCTGGGCTTTCCTCATTTGGCTTAAAGAACGTCAGTCAGGTTTTTTATAACCAGCTTTACATGTCTGACATCAGTCTGAGCAAAGTTTACTCCAATCTTTGCTTTCAGCTGTGAGATGGTTCAGATATTTAACGTTCATCGCAGTTATATCACCATATAGCATCTCAATAAGATCAAATCTCCCTGTTTATTGTTTTAGCTCATTCCTATCAAAGTTTTCTTTCTTAAAGTTCTCTAAAGGTAATTTCATCTACTTTAAATGTTTATATAATCTGAATGCTTATGTGTTCAAATTTACGTAGAATTTTATTATGTCCAAGATGTTAGAAAAACGCGGTGTCTTAATTTATTTAGCTGTTCTGCTGATTTCAGTCTAACTCCCCTATCTGGTTCCTGATCAAAGCTGGTGTTATGATCCACCGGCCCTGTTTCAGCAATGGAAAATAATGATTAGCTGGAAGATAGAATGATGATGACGGTCCTGTGTTCTGATCAGACAGTGAGGCATTGATCTATACCTGATGTGTAATGAGGATTTATGTGCAGGCCATGTCACCTGACGGAGAGGCCATTGTGACCGGGGCAGGAGATGAAACCCTTCGCTTCTGGAACGTCTTCAGTAAAATGAGATCCACTAAGGTAGCAACAACTGCCCAAATGTTCTATTCCTTTAACTCCGCTTTTCAGTAAGCTTGTAGTGTGTTTCTCATGTGTGATTGATCTGCCTTCCCTTTCAGGAATCCGTCTCGGTGTTGAACCTCTTCACCAGGATCCGGTAGTTGGTTCTGCAAGGGAACGACAACAGGAAAGGAAGTCATCTCTGCATGCCATCCTCAGAGGGGGTTACCTCTCCTTGAATTCCCTTAAATATTTGAGCCATGTTGTAGCTGGGGTTGGGAGGTGCTGCAGAGGAGCACAGTCAGATTGTGGAGAGCTGAAGGGATGAGGACAGCACACACTGAGTAAACCACTGCCTCTTCAAGCAGAATTTTTGCCGCCGTCTGTTTGACCGTTTTGTTTACAAACTGACTCTGTGCATACCTGCCAAAATATATTAAGTTTGTCCTTTTGATTGTTTATTTATTTTACTTTTAATCTTTCTTTTCTTTTTTTTTAAAGGTATATTCTGATAATTGTGTTTGTTTGAAAGGCCGGTGGATTTACTCTGATGTCTGTGGCTGAAGTTTTCAGCCTAATATCTGGACTGTGTCTGGATTTGTTTAGGTTAACTAAAAAGAATCATTTCTACTGTTGGGTTTTCTGAGAGCTGAGGTGGGTCACGGACACTGATTGCAAACAATACAAACCGATTGTGTTTTGAGAATTCAATGAGGGTCAAAAAGGATGTCATCAAAAAGAGAAAAAAAGCCTTATTTGTTTTAACCTCAAGAGTTCATTTTAGGACAGATGTTCAGACATTTTTTTCTTATTTTCTTAAGTTCAGGAAAAAAGTGGACTTTTGAAACATTGTACATAAGAACAATATTACAGGTGTAATTACTATGAAGCTATATCATTTTAGGTTGACATGTATGGGATTCTTTTCCTTATATTATCCTTTTTTGTGGATTGCAGGATAAAGAACAAAAAAAGCTGTTTTTGTTTTACCAGTTGACTTTAACCACAATTGAACCCCTACAGTAAAAAAGTGAAACCATCAAACAAGAAAAATTATGTTTGCAGAGCTCAAAGCGCTTCACTCATGCTTTTAGATAAACATATTTGACCATATCATACAGCCACTGCATTCATTTCATTCCTGGAATGTTTCTAAGAATGACGTACCAGGCTTACATGGATGACTTCTATTTTTCTTTACATAGACGCATGTTGGGAACGGATGAGCAGTTTTACTGCAAACATCTCAATTTCTTTTGATGCCACTTCAAATTTATCCTGCCAGTGTAAACTACAGAGATTAAGTAGGCTTTCCTTACCAAGATTTGATCATGAAAATAAATGCCCATATCTTGTCTGCTGTTTTGCTGTAAGCCTCTTTTTTTTCAAGATTTTGTGACAAGCCTTTTTTTAATGTGTTGAGCAGGAAATTGTCTGAAAGAGAAGATAAAATGTGCAACAAAGGAGCTGAGGGTTTGGATTAAATACCAAATGTTTTGAGGAAGGACTGATATCCTCCATATACCTTAACTCACAGCCTTCCTACATTTCATTGCAGTCCTGAACCAGAGCTTTAATTCTTCATTGTTAAAACTTCCTTACCTTTAAATATACTCCTCAGGATGAGGATGCCCAACGATTGCATAGAAAGTTGCAATTAGATGAATGAAAAGCACTGAAGTAAAAATACTTTACATTTCTCTCAGAAAATATATGGTGCAGTTATTTGCAAATGTAAAATTTAGAAATGCTCAAAGAGGTATACCATGAAAATGTCTTATTTAAAAACATTTTTTTTAGATGGCTATACAGTATATGCAATACAGTATATGGACAATTTTACATTAATCCACAAGTTGTTAGGTGTGTTTTGGTTAAGTGTCTTGCCCAGAGGTCAGCATCTTATACCAAGATGTAATCAAATCTAGAGGAGAGTGGCCCCAGGTTGTTCTCTTCATGCATCCTTATATTATTTTATTTTTATACCTAAGCTTTGTCTTAGTTTTAACCCTTTCAGCCAGGCGGGCCTGGTAATGGGCCCAACTGACACCTGCTCACGTTTATCTATTTCTAGAAAAGGCCAAGACACAGTCACATGGTGTTTCATCCACACACCTTTTAAACAGGGCTTTAAAATGCCTAAAACATGCTTCTAAATGATTTTAGTTTTGTAAACAAATAAAAAGATTTTAAATTATTTGTGACTGTGGGAGTAATGCAACAGCAGGTATTCATTTTTAGCCACACCCCCTAATGGCCGGCATCATTGGAAACTAGAGGCTCAGGAGGAGGTAATGGTGCGACCATTTCAGGTGATGTAATCGGCATGTGTTACATAAGCTTTCTCTGTTATTCTTATTTTCTATTCAGTTTGGTGATATTATTGGTAAATTTCATTGAAACAACAGCTAAATCTTAGGAGCAAAGGCTTTTTCTTATGCAGAGGGTCTCCATTAATGTAACTCAGCATATTTATCTGGCCAGATTCCCTTTAATGAATAGAAACATTTTTATTTTTTTCCCCCACTTTTGGCATTGTGCCAAAATCACATTTCTGGATGGCATACTGCCCAATGAAACCTTTGTGGAACAAACATGCTTCAACTCATTCAATCCAAATGTGCTTGAGTTATAGGCAAGATGTAGATCTATAATGTCTGGGGGTTCATGGTGTTTTGCAGTGTTTTATTTTTTATAGAAAATTATCAAGACTAAATATTTTTCTTTTTTTTTTTCTTCGTTTAATCACCTATAAATCAGATATGGTGACATTTAAAATAGTGGTTCCACCTGCAAAATATTCTTCAATACCTTTTGGTCATAAAAATACAAAAAATGTATTTCCAATTTATAGTTTGGGAGCTGTACTTGCTTTAATTCCCATATGTAATTTCAGGCGGAATTTGCTCCTAAGACCCTCTGGGCTTAAGGGGTTTTAAAAGTGTATGTTACATTACACTAGGGGAATCTTTCCTCACCTATCCATGTGACCATGCATGCAAATTTCAGGACTGTGTCATATAGACTTAAATTTTTTTTTTTTTTCTGTGGTCAATTGGTAATTTTAGTTTTGCTACTTAGACATCCAAGTCAAGGTTTAGTTTATACCATAAAATGTGCCATATAGTGTTTGATTTTGATTGATTTATCATGTATTTTTCATTGTTTATTTCTAATCTGAACACTTTTAAAGTGGAAGAATCCCTTTGTGTGCCAAATCCAGAGGAAACACAAGAGGGAGCTATTTAAATCCACATCTGCTCCCACACCCAAACATTGAACCTTAAACAAAATACCTTGAAGGCAACGTTTAGATTTAGCATGCCCATTAAGAAAATGTTCCCTGAGATTGGGATTTTCTGCTCTCCAATGGATAATGAACATTTTCTAATAGATTATCCAGTTTCATTTTAACCAGAGCTCAGATTTGTTTAGATTAAAGCATATACAAGCCAAAAAGCTTCTTTTTTTCCCTGGGAGTTTGTATATTTCCATCATATTCCTGGAACAGCCCACACACACAAGCTTAGTTTTGACCCAGAGAATGAAACATTATAAATGTTCACAGCCTTAAAATGCTCCCACACCTCTGCAGGTGCCCTGCAGCTTATCCAAATTCACTGCCACCCATTAAAAACAGCAAATGGATTTTATCAACAACAGCTGAAGAGCCCAAATACATGCAAAATGATGAGCGAATAATTACACTCTTTTTGTTTTTGTTTTAATTTAAAAATAAGAAATAGATTTTGCAGTAAAGCAAATAAAATACATTTACCAAGAAACAATGATTGATAAGCTCATTCACTGAGTAAGTTTGAAATGAGAAATAAAGGTGTTTTGTTTGTTGTTGTTGTTTTTTTTTTTTGGTTGTTTTGGCCCAGGTGACTCAGCTTCCATCGACACCAAAGAGCCGGAGCCTTTCTTCCTTTCGTACTCCATTATAATATCGAAATAACATGCCTGCTCCATTATAGTGATCAGATAAATCATCTGAATGGAGGACTTTCAGCACAGTCTTCCTGCTCATCTATGCCTCATCACGGTAGGCAGATGTTAACATTAAGCCCTGAAAGCAGTGGGGAAAACAGAGGGGGGATCTCTAATATGAATAATCCTACCTCCTGATGTTCCCATCAAGAGACCCAGAGTGTGATGTGCATTATTCCACCAAAGCCCCTCAACGAGAACAGGATCTTTCCCCAGGTTCCTCTAAGCCCTGCTCTTGTGTGTTCCTGATAACTAGGTGAGAGTGATATCAAAGGAACAAAGCTTCTCTGATCAGTATTAGCTGCAGCAACAAGGCTCCTTTATTTGGCCATTTTGTCCAAAGAAACAGAACCCAGAAAAGGCCCTATTTACACACAGAGAAATGTCAATCACCTCAGCTCTGCTTACTCTAATAAAATGGGGGTTGGGTGTCTATTTTTTTCAGTACCTCAAACCTGCAATGAGCTCAAGTGATTTCTGCTGCTTGGATTTGAATAGCTTGATATGCTAATGTTTATTAGGTGATAGAAAATGGAAGCTAAGCCATGCTTCTGAAGGATGTACACCAGAAACACAGGAGAATTTCAATATATTTCAGCAAAAAAAAGCAATACTTTCAATGTACACAATGGGTGACGAGGTAAGATTAGTCACATGCAATGAGATGTTTAATTGAATTTCTAGGGTATAAATAATTTTTCACATTACAATTGTAAAAAAAAAAAAAAAAAAAAGACATTCAACCCTGTTTTGTTTGTAATTTTGAACCTGTTGTTGCCATATGGAGGCCAGGGTACAGACACCAACCAACTGTATAATTTGTAAATTAACTCCTTCATTGTCTATAAAGTCTGCTAACCATCTAGTTGTACCCCTAGCAGAGGGAACTTAAGGTTATACACAACTTTCTAATTACATAATCCCATTAAAAGATGATCAGAATTGATCAATTGCAATGCAGCTTTCATCACCTGATACAGGCTTCAATCTAAAGATGTTTGCCCACTGCGGTAAGTCAAATTAAATAAATACTATTGGTTTACCATTTTATAAGTTTTTCTGGAATCTATATTTAAATCCAGAGACAGATATATATTCTATTTAGTCATTTTTACCCATTTTATGTCTGCTAAATGACAGAGTGAGGATAATGTTTTTCAGATCCTTTTATTTAGATGTTTTTGTATTTAGTCAATTTTCCTCAGATCATTGGTTCTAGTTATTTTTCTACAATGTTCTAGCTTTCCCATTCAACCTGAAAGAACAGGTCTGTAGTCAGGTTTTTAGGCTTGTTGTGCAATTATGATACATTTAATCCCAGTAGGAGAGGCAAATATGTTAATATTCTACCTGTTATTTAATGTTCTGTGAAAACACGCTCTCCTTTGTGTGTTAGAAAAACAGATAAAGATGTGAATCAAGCTCAATTCATGGTCAGATAGATCATTCTCCACACATATGGAATCAATTCCCAACTTCCATTTAAAATGTTAATTTATTAACAAAAATCATTCAGCCTCAAGTCAAATTTATTTTTGTTAGAAATGCTTGACCAAACTGGAGAGACTCTAACTAAACTACAATGTAGACAAAGAGGAAAAAGAAAAACACATGGTTGCAAACCATAATCAATAAAAGGGTGCAATGATATCACATGTATATACAGCATATTTATTTTTTGTATTTATGTTTGAAAACCAAGGTTTATCTTAAAGAATTTAGAATGGAATCGAATTATCCTTTAATTTAGAACAATTTGAATGTGTTCAAATAAATTCACAATGCAAATCCAAAAGGTAAATTAAACATTTGTTAAAATTATATTTTGTTAAGTGATTTGCTTAATTAAAAACCAATAGCCTTTATTTAAATTATTCTCAACCTTCTGTGATTGAGCTAGTAGAAAACAGACATGAGGGTACTCACGTTAAATTGCTCTTTGGATGACGAAACATAAATGTTAACATTATATTAGTGTTAAACATTTAGTGAAATAAAGTTTGTTTTAGCTTTATAAACAACAACTTAAAAGCTAGAAATTAGGTGGAATTTGCTCCTAAACACATGAAATGATCAAAAAAACATTAAAACTTTGCCAGACCTGTAACCTCTGCTGATTTTGGAAAAGGTTGAATTGTCTGCAGTATTCAGCAGCTTAAAAATAACTAATAATATCAGCAAGGACATTGGTTGGTAGCCCAACAGGTTGCCTTGGTCACACACTTTGTCACCTGTTCCAACAAACCTTGTGTTGGATTGAGATCAGGGCTGTTTAATGGCCACTCCAAAGCTGTGAATTTGTTGTTCTTAAGCCTCTTTTTAACTAATCTGATATCTTTGGAGTCATTGTCCTTTTGGAAAAACTCTGTTTG